GTTTGGTGCCAAACCTTTGAACCTTTTCTAGTCTTATCTTTTCAGTCCAGTCTTTTCCAGTCAAGTCTTATGCCATACTAGATATGGACTCCATGCTGGAGCTGCATACTCCAGGATTGGTCTGACATATGTGGTATACAAAGTTCTGAAAGATTCCTTACACACGTTTCTAAAGGCCGTTTTGTGAATGTGTGTGTGTGTGTGTGTGTGTGTGTGTGTGAGAGAGAGAGAGAAGAGAGCACCAACATTGTACAACAGTTCAGAGTAGTTAACAGGTGGAATGCATTAGGCAGTGATATGGTGGAGACTGACTCCATACACAGTTTCACATGTAGATGTGAAAGAGCCCAATGGGCTCAAGAATCTGTACAACGGTTGATTGACAGTTGAGACGGGACCACAGAGCGGAAGCTCAACCCCCGCAAGCACAACTAGGCGACTACAGCTCTGTGAGTACAGTGCCAGAGCAGTAAGGGCGGGTGAACAGGAGCGGGGAAAACACCAGTTTCCGCCTCCCCTTCCTTCCCTACCCCCACCTCCCCCACCCCCCATACCCCGGGCATTGTTGTCGTCATGCCCACCTGACTCTCACCCCCCTCCTCCCCTCTCCGCCCCCCTCTACCAACCCCCGCCCCTTCTACCAACAAATAACTAGGGTGAGGGGGGGGCAGGGGCAGGGTGCAGGGGGCAGGGGTAGGGGCAGGGGACAGGGTGCAGGGCAGACAACAGGAGCAGGTGGGACTGTCAGAACACCTGTCCCCCGGAAACTGTACCCAGCGTGGCGTGCGCGGATCCCTCCCGCACTCCCTCGCCTCCTCTCTCTCACTCCGTGTCTCCCTCCCTCACCCACTGTTTCCCTCCCTCTCTCCCTCCCTCTCTCTCCCCCTCCCTCGTGCCCTGTTATTGGTGTTACACTGCTGCTGCTGCTGCTGCTCGTGGTGGTGGTGGTGTTGGCACGCCTGTTGCCACAATTACGGCCTCTGCTCCTGTCGCATATTACAGCTGCTGCTGCTGCTGGCACGGGCGCTGCTGCTGTTTTGACTCTAACGTTTTGCTGTTGCAGGCACTTGTGCTGCTGCTTTATCATCTGTTGTTGCTAGGTTTGGAGGTGTTGCTGCTACTTGCTCTGGTCTTGCTGTTGGCGCCCATGTGTTCTCTCAAGTTTGGTAACTAGTTTCCGTGTCTTATGTGTAAGTGGCGATCAAGGGAGGACCCGGGAAACACTAGGGCAGGTCACTCTTGCAGCAGGTCACTCCTGGGACAGGCCTTCTGGGGCAGGTCACTCCTGGGACAGGCCTCCTGCAGCAGGTCCCTCTTGGTGTCCGCCCTACAAGAAGGGGAGAGTGAAGGGCGCGGCTAGACTTTACCAGACGGTATGCTGGTAAAGCTGGCAAGTGTTGACGGACTTGTGTGTCGGTCAGCAATACATTCTCCATCATTCATTCAATGACGTCACGGTCTCAGCCCAAGAGACCGAGCAACATTCGCGCGGTCTCGGCCCCAGAGACCGAGCAACACCCGCGCGGTCTCGGCCCAAGAGACCGAGCAACACCCGCGCGGTCTCGGCCCCAGAGACCGAGCAACACCCGCGCGGTCTCAGCCCAAGAGACCGAGCAACACCCGCGCGGTCTCGGCCCCAGAGACCGAGCAACACCCGCGCGGTCTCGGCCCCAGAGACCGAGCAACACCCGCGCGGTCTCGGCCCAAGAGACCGAGCAACACCCGCGCGGTCTCAGCCCCAGAGACCGAGCAACACCCGAGCGGTCTCAGCCCAAGAGACCGAGCAATACCCGCGCGGTCTCGGCCCCAGAGACCGAGCAACACCCGCGCGGTCTCGGCCCAAGAGGCCGAGCAACACCCGCGCGGTCTCGGCCCCAGAGACCGAGCAACACCCGCGCGATCTCAGCCCCAGAGACCGAGCAACGCCCGCGCGGTCTCGGCCCCAGAGACCGAGCAACACCCGCGCGGTCTCGGCCCCAGAGACCGAGCAACACCCGCGCGGTCTCGGCCCAAGAGACCGAGCAGTAACACCCGCGCGGTCTCGGCCCCAGAGACCGAGCAGTAACACCCGCGCGGTCTCGGCCCAAGAGACCGAGCAACACCCGCGCGGTCTCGGCCCCAGAGACCGAGCAGTAACACCCGCGCGGTCTCGGCCCAAGAGACCGAGCAACACCCGCGCGGTCTCGGCCCCAGAGACCGAGCAACACCCGCACGGTCTCGGCCCAAGAGACCGAGCAACACCCGCGCGATCTCGGCCCAAGAGACCGAGCAACACTCGCGCGGTCTCGGCCCAAGAGACCGAGCAACACCCGCGCGATCTCGGCCCCAGAGACCGAGCAACACCCGCACGGTCTCGGCCCAAGAGACCGAGCAACACCCGCGCGATCTCGGCCCAAGAGACCGAGCAACACCCGCGCGGTCTCGGCCCCAGAGACCGAGCAACACCCGCGCGGTCTCGGCCCAAGAGACCGAGCAACACCCGCGCGGTCTCGGCCCCAGAGACCGAGCAACACCCGCGCGGTCTCGGCCCAAGAGACCGAGCAACACCCGCGCGGTCTCGACCCCAGAGACCGAGCAACACCCGCGCGGCTCCGGTAAACGGAGGGCCACTTATCTAAATATTTATGGCTGAAAGTGATGAACACGGCTGAACAATTTACACTGGACAATTTTGTTGTTCCTTTGTGCACTAGAGACGACTTGTGAGTGGTGGTGGTGTTCCGTCTCCTACTACCACTACTACCACTACCACTACTACCACCACCACTACCACCAGTACCGCCCCACCATAAGAACAGGTAGTGCGGACGGAAGCACTGGCCGTGACGGGCAGGAGGAAGGTAGTGTGTTCTTGGGGGGGGGGGGGGTACTGCAGAGGAGGGGGGGAGAACAGCAGCCTGCCCCCTCCCCCCGCCCCCCCCCCCTGCAAGTGAGTCATCCAGGCGGCGCTGACGGTGGCACGCTGGACACTCATGGAAGGGTAGGTTAGGGAGGGTAGGTCAGGGAGGGTAGGTTAGGGAGGGTAGGTTAGGGAGGGTAGGTCAGGAAGGGTAGGCCAGGGAGGGAGAGGAAGGGTAGGCCAGGGAGGGTAGGTCAGGGAGGGTAGGTCAGGAAGGGTAGGCCAGGGAGGGAGAGGAAGGGTAGGCCAGGGAGGATGACCCCCCCCCCCCCAGCCATCAAGAGGGGAGGCGGAAGAACTAGGGAATGAGATGTGTAAGGGACATGTACGGGACGTGAGAGAGAGACGACCCAGGCCTCCTCCAGCGGAGATGGACTCTGGCTCTTCATGCCCGGCCTACCACCCTTCTTGTACCTCTTGTGTTATAATTCACACGTTTTATGATGTTCGTGTTCTCTGTCGAGTCTGGCCTTAAAGTTGTGGAAGGAGGCGGCTTCTACTGGTTGACCGCCCGTACAGGGTTCGAGTATTTCCTTACCTTCCTTCGACTGGTGTGTTTCCAGCTTCCACCTGTGTCCTCTTGTCCTACTCTCTCTTAATTTAAAGAGGCTGTCATTATAGATCTTGTCTATCTTCTATATTGTGAACATATCTCCTCTGCATCTTCTATCCGGTGTGGTGTTCTTGGGAGGACTAGTTCCCTCGACCCATCCTCCTAGCCTCTTAGCTCTGCTTCTAGACTTTTTATATTTAAGGTTGGTGCTTCAGAAAGTGCAGATTCCATCCCATGTGCACCTCCCCCACACCAGAGGTGCAGAATGGGTGGGAGGGGGTGGGACAGGGGGGGTGGCGAGGTGCAGAATGGGTGGGAGGGGGTGGGACAGAGGGGTGGCGAGGTGCAGAATGGGTGGGGATCGATTCCTGCACCGGAGGGGTGTGCCAAGGGGCAGGTTTAAATACCCCATCCCATATTCCCAGGGATCAAGTAGAGTGCGCGAGGCCCCCTTCCTCTTGTACTCTGGGGCTGGAGCTCTTGGTTAAGGCACTCGAGGATGATGTACAAGCAGCCCCTGAGTGCGTGTGCTCTACGGTGGTGCTGGCGGCCGCGGGGTAGCGTCACGGGCTGGCGTTGCTAATGAAGAGGGAGGTAGCGGAGATTGTGCAATTGTTTGCTCAAAATGAGCAAATATAAAAAAAATAATGTAAATGTTGGTGCTGTGTTTTTATCGGGTAGCGGCAGCGTAGCGTCGGGCCCCGAGGTGGTAGCGGGGGTAGCGGAGTCCAAGTAGCGGAGGTCGCTAAATTACCTGTCGGCGAGGCAAGACTATGACGGTAACTTGTGTGGCAACATGATGGTTACCGGCGGTGTTTATGTCGACTGGTGGTCGAGGCACTCAAGGGTAGTGGTCAAGCGAGGCACTGAGGGGAGAGGCACTCAAGGGTAGTGGTCAAGCGAGGCACTGAGGGGAGAGGCAGTCAAGGGCAGTGGTCAAGCGAGGCACTGAGGGGAGAGGCACTCAAGGGTAGTGGTCAAGCGAGGCACTGAGGGGAGAGGCACTCAAGGGCAGTGGTCAGGCGAGGCACTGAGGGGAGAGGCACTCAAGAGTAGTGGTCAAACGAGACTGAGGGGTTAAGCGAATGAAGACAATTAACTGTAGTAGTAGAGAGAGCGCGAGTGAGAGAAGTAGTGAGGAAGAGAAAGTGTGAGGGAGTGAAGGAAGGAGAGAGAGAGAGAGAGCGTGAGGGAGAGTGAGGGCGCAAGGGAGCGATGGAGGGGTAGTAAGAGTGAGGTAGACAGGTCATGAGGGAGAGCGAGGGCGTGAGGGAGAGACTCCCTCATAACTGCTGCCGACTACCTGGGAAAATTCATCTGCCGTCAACTTTACCGCGCTTTCGGACCAACCGCGCTCCAAAGGAGAACCTATACTACATCAATAAATATATACACACTAAAAATCCTTTATCGCTTTAAACACCAACAGAAAGATATTTACGATAGATTTCAATTATAAAATTGCCATTAAAATCGTGGAATTAATTTAGAGAGCGTAAAGTTATGGTGAGTGTGGAGGATGAGTTGAGCGAGGCGGTGGTTGGCAGTGTATGCTTGAGTGGTGGTTCATTCACCCAGAGTGTGTAGGCAGGCCAGGGGGAGCCGCAGGCAGCCTCACATATAGTGCTCCTCCATGAGGCTGTCAGTGCACGCTACAAGCTGTCAGTGTGAGTGAAGGCGGGACAAGTGTGAGTGAGAGAGGGGAGGGTGAGAGCGAGCGAGAGAGCAGAGAGGAGGCCCGCAGTGTGGAGACCGGCGGGGCACAGTGTGGTGGTGGGCAGCTCCTGGCTACCACTAACATCCCGTATCGATTTTTGTTGGGGTGGGCAGCCATTTTAGTGCGAGCGGTGCTTGGGGCAGTCAGTGTGTTGTGAGGGAGGCGGGCAGCTGGCCCTACGAGTGTGGTGGAGCCCTCAGGCACCAGCCCTGCCCCTCAGCCTGCTGCTGGAACACCTGTCTACACCCACCACGTGCACCCTGCACACACGCCCTCCTCACCCTTGCCTCCTCTGGGGGACCTCCTGCTGCTACTTCTACAGCAGCAACACTCCCCAGGGCGTCTACATCTACTGGTGAGGGGCCGCGACACCTACACTCACCACTGAGGCCAGCTACACCACCCGCCGCCCAGGCGCCCACACCCACGGCTACACCCGCCGCCCACGCAGTCAGGCAAAGGTAAAACATAGAATGGTTGAGTTAGTGTGGGTGGATGACGCAGCATGACACGCTCAGTGGTGTGGCTCTGTCATGACACGCTGGGCAGTGTGGCTCTGTCATGACACATCCAGGAGTGTGGCTCTGTCATGACACGCTGGGCAGTGTGGCTCTGTCATGACACATCCAGGAGTGTGGCTCTGTCATGACACGCTGGGCAGTGTGGCTCTGTCATGACACGCTGGGCAGTGTGGCTCTGTCATGACACATCCAGGAGTGTGGCTCTGTCATGACACGCTGGGCAGTGGCTCTGTCATGACACACCCAGGAGTGTGGCTCTGTCATGGCACACCCAAGAGTGTGGCTCTGTCATGACACGCCCAGGAGTGTGGCTCTGTCATAACACGCTGGACAGTGGCTCTGTCATAACACCCTCGACAGTGGCTCTGTCATGACGCACACAGGAGTGTGGCTCTGTCATGACACACACAGGAGTGTGGCTCTGTCATGACACACAGGAGTGTGGCTCTGTCATGACACACACAGGAGTGTGGCTCTGTCATGACACACCCTCGACAGTGGCCGTCATAACACGCTCGACAGTGTGGCTGTCATGACACACCCAGGAGTGTGGCTCTGTCATAACACGCTGGACAGTGGCTCTGTCATGGCAGGAGTGTGGGAGTATCAGAGTGATGCGTGCCCTCTACCCTACCCAGAGGCTAGTGGCACCCGGGGCACCTCCCTCCGCCCTGGCCACAACACAGATAACACCCCGCTCCGGGAGGCTGCTGTGAGATACGCGCCCCCCAGCCACACTCACACTCCCAACACACTCTCACCACGCCATACACTCACACTCGCCTCACGCTTACACTCGCCAGGTACTTACTCATCACGCCAAACATTCACTACGCTATACACTCGCCACATATTCTTAACGAGCTACACATTAGCTACACACTCACACTCATCACACGCTACACATATTCACCACATATTCCCATCACATCACACACATTACACATACACCCCACTCTACATATTCTCTCACTAAACACCATACCACATATGCTTTTCACACTACATATTCTCTCATTTTACACACACACACACACACACACACACACACACACACACACACACACACAGGGGGCGCCGGTGGCTGTGTGGATAGCACGCTGGGCACGTAATCCCGTGGCCCGTGTTCGATTCCCGGCGCCGGCGAGAAACAAAAATTGACAAAGTTTCTTTCATCCTGATGCTCCTGTTACCTAGCAGTAAATAGGTACCTGGGAGTTAGCCAGCTTTTACGGGCTGCTTCCTGGAGGGTGTGTGTGTTTGTGTGTGAAAAAAATAGTAGTTAGTAACAGTTGATTAATTGACAGTTGAGAGGCGGGCCGAAAGAGCAGAGCTCAACCCCCGCAAACACAACTAGGTGAATACACGCACAGCTCACACATGCAGCTCCAGCATGGAGTCCATATCAAGCATAAGACTAAACTGGAAAAGGTTCAAAGGTTTGCCACCAGAATAGTATCCGAACTGAGAGGTATGAACTACGAGGAGAGACTATGGGAATTAAACCTCACGTCGCTGGAAGACAGAAAGGTTAGGGGAGAAATGATCACCACATATAAGATTCTCAAAGGAATTGATAGGGTAGATAAAGACAGGCCATTTAACACAAGGGGCACACGCACTAGGGGACACAGGTGAAAATTGAGTGCCCAAATGAGCCACAGAGATATTAGAAAGAACTTTTTTAGTGTCAGAGTGGTTGACAAATGGAATGCATTAGGAAGTGATGTGATGGAGGCTGACTCCATATACACAGTTTAAAGTGTAGATATGATAGAGCCCAATAGGCTCAGGAACCTGTACATCAGTTGATTGACAGTTGAGAGGCGGGACCAAAAAGCCAGAGCTCAATCACCACAAGCACAACTAGGTGAGTACACACACACACACACACACACACACACACACAAACAAACAAACGGGTGGTACGTGAACAAGGAGCCACGAGTCTAAACTTAGTACCCACATGAACCACAGGGACGATATAAAGAACTTTTTCATTGTAGGTGTAGTTAACAAATGGAATGCATTAGCACGTCCCTCTCAATGTTTGGTTAATCTAAAGCCAATGGGAAAAGCAACCACAGGTGGCAATGGGAGCAAGAGCTAAAATTCTAATACTAGGGGATTTTAACCACAGGGAAATAGACTGGATAAATATTGACCTCCCCCCCTTCCCAGAGGGGTGATGAGATACGGAGAGCAAAAATGGTAGATATGGCAGACACACACTGAAACTGGTGTTGTCCCAAAATGAGGCAGGTGTTGAAAAGAGTGGGACAAAATGAGACAGGTGTTGAAAAGAGTGGGACAGAATGAGACAGGTGTTGAAAAGAGTGGGACAGAATGAGACAGGTGTTGAAAAGAGTATGTGATGCCTCAAGCTAGCGACCATTGCATTATCATGCTTGACTACATAGTGAAAAAGAAGTTGGTTAGATAAAGAACGCTGTTAAAGAAGATGAGAGATTACAGAGGCAGGAACTATAATAAAGTGATGGACTTTCTTCATGGGAGGGAGAGAGAACAATGGAAGGGAAGACAGCAAATGAGAAGATGGAATTAATTGCTCAGAAATGTACAAATACAATGGAGAAGTTCATACCCATGAAAAATGAGGTGGATTAGGAAAATAAACTCCTGGCTTAATAGTCAATGCAGGGAGACTACAAAGAAGACCAAGAAAGCCTGGAAAAAGTGTTGAGAACTAGGCATGGAGGACAGTACAGAGGCACTGAAGAAAAACTGACATGAATACACCTGAATCAGGAGAGAAGCAGAGTGCCAATTTGAAAATGACACTGCGACAGAAAATATGGTCCAACCAAAGCAGTTCTATAGCCGCATAAGAAGAAACTAACAGTGAGACACCATGTAATCAGGTTAAGGAGACTGGAAATACAGGAAATTATGTGAAAATGAAAAGGAGGAATGTGAGGAACTTAACAAAAGATTACGGGATGTTTTTACAATATAAGCAGAGTGAGACTAAGACTTCAAGATAAAAGGTTGGAAGAAACAATGGTTGACATTGTGGTCACTTTAGAAGAAATACCCGGAATAAGTAGATATGACAAAATCATTTGTGTCATACTTAATCCTAACATGGTGCTGAAGGAGGATGCAGAAGTACTTTGTCACGTGTTGTCTAAAATATTCAATAAAACACTCAAAGCAAGATATCTTCCAGAATTTTGGAAAAGGCAAATGTAGTTCCAATATTAAAAAAAAAGATAGACAGGCGGCACTAAATTACACACCAGTGTTACTGACAAGTATTACATGTAAAGTACTGGAGAAAGTAACCAGCTGAGAATGGTAGAGCAGTTGAAGAGGACCAACTTAGTAACAAAAGAGGAGCATGGATTTAGAAAGGGCAAATCATGCTTGATAAATTTGAGAGTTCTAAGATGGAAAAAGATGGCTGGGTAGACTGTATTTTCCTAGATTGTCAGAAAGCAGTGGACACTGTTCCTCATGAAAGGCTGGTGTACAAGACGGAGAAGCAGGCTGTGATAACTGTTAAAACACTGTACTGGGTAAGGGAGCACCTGAAGGACAGAAAAAAAAGAGTCGGTGTCGAACAGGAGGAATGTAGTAAGTGGGGTCCTACAAGGCTTGGTCTTGGGACAGATACTTTTACTAATTTACGTGAATGACATACCCAAGGGAGTGAGTTCGTACATGTTAGTGTTTGCAGGTGACACAAGGATAAGGAATGTAAAAATAGAATGACTGTAGGAAGTTGCAGAAGAACTTTGACGAACCGGTCGGAGTCGGTCGGCCGAGCGGACAGCACGCTGGACTTGTGATCCTGTGGTCCTGGGTACGATCCCAGGCGCCGGCGAGAAACAATGGGCAGAGTTTCTTTCACCCTATGCCCCTGTTACCTAGCAGTGGTACCTGGGTGTGTCAGCTGTCATGCTTCCTGGGGGTGGAGGCCTGGTCGAGGACCGGGCCGCGGGGACACTAAAAAAAAAGCCCCGAAATCAACCTCAAGATAACCCGGGCGTGAGTAAATCATTGTGTGGTAATGAAGATGGGGGAAGGAAGAAAGAAAACCAGAAGATATCTATGCCATAAGAGGGGAAGGCAACTACAGGAATCGGAAATAGAGATTTGTGAGTGGATACAGTTCCAACATTAACACCGGAAGCTCACCTAAACAGGGTAGCATCTGCTGCATATAGGACGCTGGTGAACGTTAGAACATCTTGTTGTTTAAGATTAGCTCCTTGGAACAAAAAGTTCCAAGTAGCACGGGCTATGGTGAGCCCGTAGTGGACTTTTTTCTTATTAGAACATCATTTAGAAACCTAAATCAGGACTCCTACACGGCAATCTGCACAGCATTTGTTAGACTAATGCTGGCATGTCCAGCAGCATGGAGTTCACACCTTGTAAAACACACAGGGGTCCCGGTAGTAGTCGGGTTCGTCCTCGACTCATAATCGGGAACTGCGGGTTCGAATCCCGGGCTGGACAGAAATGATTGGGTGCGTTTCCTATCACCTACTGCAATTGTTCACCTAACTTGTTCATGTTCTTTAAACTAAACAAAGTCATTTATATTTATACTCAACTAGACTAATATAAATTGATCACATTACTGGATTAGTGATGTTATTAGTTACTGTAGTTAATGTTAGGCATGAATGTAAAGCAAGATATTTGTAGGCAGTGAGAGTTCATATTATTCTCACTATCTGTGGTAGGTAGTGAAAACTTAGTGTCCGCACTATATATCATAGGTAGTGATATATAAATTAGAACTTGCAGTGTGCGCACTATATATCATAGGTAGTGATATATAAATTAGAACTTACAGTGTCCGCACTATATATCATAGGTAGTGATATATAAATTAGAACTTACAGTGTCCGCACTATATATCATAGGTAGTGATATATAAATTAGAACTTGCAGTGTGCGCACAATCT